AAAGAGCAGTCTCTGCACAGTAACACTCTGCCTCCCTCTCTTTCCGAGACGAGGCAGTCCTGTGGAGGATTCAAAGACGGCCCATTAGGGATCTGTGCCGCTTCTCATGGTTTGGGCCGTGCCATCTTACCATGGCAGTAACAACTCTACCAATTACACATTCACCGGGAACATAAGGTCCCCGCTCCAAAGGCTCCATCTCTCTTCACGAAGGTATCCTTGCTTGGCCATATAGGCACCCAGTAGGGCTTTCCCCACTAGATGAGACCTCAAACCCCGTCCCTGGACCAGGGTTACCAGCCCCCGAATGTATTCGCTAGTGCAGTCTGTGGCAGGGCCATTATCTGTCTCTCTGATCTGTGTGCAGTGTACTTAGGCAAAATGTGTCAAGCTCAACAGTATTATTTGTATTTACCTGCACTACGGTGTCTTCTCCCTCAGTTTTAATATTAATAATACATTTAATTTCTAAGCGCTTTTTCAGCAACACCATTAGTTTCAGGTTTATAAGAGACAGGCTAGATTTGTGTGACACCGCGTGATTCTAACAAATGTTGAACATCAAAGTTCTTAAAATGTTTTCCATTATCTATTCTTAATGATTCAATATCTGGAAATTGAATTAACAGTTCTGTAGAACTTATCAACCTCACTGTTTCCTCTATCGGGTTTCCTAACCCTATTTAGAGAGAATGGACGTCCATTCTCAGGAGACGTCTGACAGTGGTGCGGTTACCCAAAGTGACACGTCCATTCTCAGGAGACGTCTGACAGTGGTGCGGTTACCCAAAGTGACAGAGCCCCAAATGACGGACTGTAAGCAGGGTCCCACACTCACACAGGCAGAGATCCAGGGTCATGCACATGGCTTTCTTACCCAGCAATAAGTGTGTGAAACCTGGGTAAAAGTTATGTAAATACAGGGGGAGAGAGGAGCAGCAGCAGCAGCAGCAGGCTGTGACCCAGAGAGCAGCTCCTTCCAGCACCTCGCTCTCCCACCCAGAGGACAGGCTGCTTCACAGCACTATGTAACCCAGGAAAGAAGCTTGAATCCTGGGTATGTCAGTGTTAAAAAGTGCTTTAAACTGGTTTAATTACCCAGCAATAAGTGTGTGAAAGCTGGGTAAAAGTGATGTGAACAGAGGGAGAGAACAGCATTTCACAGGCATTTCACAGGCACATAGGCAGAAATCCAGGGTGTCACATGGGTCAGAAAAAGTCTAAGTTAACTTTTGGAAGAACCAGAGAAAAGGGTGAAAATGGATAAAATGTATCACAAAATAGTGTCTCTTAAGGCGGATATAGTCCCCTGACAACTCCTGTTACATTCCTCAAGAGTCAGAAAAAGTCTAAGTTAATTTTTGGAAGAACCAGAAAAAAGGGGTGAAAATGGATCAAATGTATCACAAAATAGTGTCTCTTAAGGCGGGTAAAAGTTATGTGAATACGGGGTGACGTATATGGACACTTGAGCACCAGCAAGACCCCCACCTCCATAACCTCGAGCACCTTGGGTCCCCGGGCCCCCGAACTTAAGCACTCCCCCACGGACTAAACCCAGATGATCACACCCTCAAGAACCTCGTGCCCCTGGGGATCTTAAAGGGGGGGTGGAGTTTGCGGTGCTTTATTGTCCGCCCATCGGCATCCATATTCGTAATTATTCACAGCAGCACCACCCAACCTTCCTGTGGAGGATGTTCTCATGGCCCTGGTTATACTTAAAGGAGGTGGATTTTGTGGTGCTTTACTGTCCGCACACCAGCATCCATATTCGGCCTTATTCACAGCAGCACCACCCACCCTCCTGTGGAGGATGTTCTCATGCCCCTGGTTATACTTAAAGGTGGTGGATTTTGTGGTGCTGTACTGTCCGCACACCAGCATCAATGTTCGGCCTTCTTCAAGGCACCACCCCCCCGTGATGGAGGTTCACACTTTAACTGTTTTGTCATATGTTGTCTTTCCACGTGTGGGTGCGCAAGGCAAAGATGTGTACCCAAACTCAAGCACTCACATCACATGGGTAAAATGAGCTTCATGTTGCCCTGCAAAATCACATTTGGTGTATTTCCAAAAAGCTGTGAAAATACACCTATATCCGTCATGGTCTGTAAAATAGCATTTTTTGTTTATTTCCATCATTCAGGCAAATACACATATATTTGTCCGCTCCAGGAGCTTCAAAGTGCAGACCCCTGAGCCCTGTAAAATATTATTATTCCGACCGCCAAGCACCGGCATGTGGACCCGGGGAGGAGGCCCTCCGATGGCGGGTCAAATTTGCTGATAGCACAGCTGACGGCTGGACACTAGCCGTAGAGGAACACCAGGGCGGGACCAGGCAGTTCCCTCTTTGCAGACAAGCATATATGGTTGTTACGCAGGATCAAACAGGTAGCCTGTGATGAAGTAGGGTCAACCCTATATCATGGTAGCCGTTTCTCAGGCTCCCTCTCCGGAATCGAACCCTGATTCCCCGTTACCCGTGGTCACCATG